TTTATAAATAAATAAATATATATATATATATATATTTTTTTTTTTTTAAAATTTTATTTTAAGACCATAAACGAATTAAAAAAAAAAACTCAATTATTTGAATATTATTTTTTTAAAATTTTTTTGTTGTAAATTTAGTAGGATATCAAAAGAATCTCAAGGAACATTCACAATAGACATGTACATGTCTATTTTAAAATTATTTTTATAGTAATTTATCTTGTAAATCACTTTTAAGATTATTTCATCTTATAATGTCAAATGAATTATATTGACTATTTTATTCAACAAAGATATATTCATTTTTATTATTAAAATATTTAATTTTATTATGATAATCATCTTTATTTTTACTATTTTCAACTAAATATCAAAATTTTCATTATTCTTGTATAGTTTCTCATTCTCAAAAGTTTTAGCTTTGTAGTTTAAATTATCTAAATTTGTATCATTCTGAAGAATAATTATTAGATGTTTAACAGAAAATTATTAGAGTATCCTTTTGAGAATCAATATCAATTTGTTTATTTTTTTTTTAGATAACTAAAATGTTATTTTCTATATAATATGTTCAAATTTAAACAATTAGACAAATATAGAAAAAAATTAAATTATAATTTATGAATCAAATAATGAGCCTTTAACAAGTAAATGATAATGAGATGAAATAATACTACTTAATTATTTATTTTTAAACCTTCACCTTGAACTGACAATTTTTTACAACAAAAAATAAATAAATTAACAATGATAGCACATTATAAAAAAATTTACATTGACTAACATATAGAGATTCTCAATTATAGATTTTGAGATTCTAAAAGAGTCTAAAATGTCCCAATTAAGAAAATAAAGAGAGAATGAAAGAGAATAGTAAATAGATATAAAAGAAAAGAGAACAAGTTTGCGAAGACTCTTATTTATTAACAATGAGAAAAGTTTTGGTTAAATAAGTCAATAATATATTATTATATATCACAGTATTCTCTTTATATTTAATATTATCAATTTATTTTCTTAAAATTATGGATAAATTTTTATTAAGAGATAAAAACATCACCTTTCAATTAATTAATTGTTATTGATTAATTTATTTTTTATAATATTTTTTTATATAATATTTATATTTATATAGACTAAAATCAAATTTGATTTTTGAGAATGAGACTTTAATCGATCGTCTACCTTAACTGTGTTTAGGATTGTCATCGAGTAAAAATATACTAGTAATGTGATGAAAAACATGCGAGATAAGCCTCATGTTAAGAGCTTTATTAAAGACATATAATTAAAGTATTTTGGCTAAACGACCATTTTAGAGCACTTTTACAAACTATTTACCAAAATAGGGTTGTTTTGAAACATATTACACCTTTGGGCTGTTTTCTACGGTGTCGCTATGGCCCATAACGACACCTATGACACGTGACAATTTTTTTTTGTCTAGGGTGGGCTGGAATGAGCCACATCAGTGTCGCTATAGGCTGGGCCAACACAGTTGATGGACTAACAAAAATGATGTAGCGCATAGCGACACCCTCTAAGAAAAAAAAAAGAAAAAAATGAAAATAATAAACTAAGTTATTTATTATATATTTATAAAAATAAAATTAAGTTTTTTAAAAATGTAATTTTAA